TGCTCTGAGCCTTCAGGAAGGGAACATGGAGTTCTCTGTCTGGGTTAGTAACAACCAGAAGCCATAACCTCCTGGTGTCTCTTCCTTGCCCTGAGTGAAATGAACTGGCAATGTCCCACTGTTTCTTAGCAGACAGGAGGGGTTTAGAGTCTTACCTGTTAGGTGACTTTTCACAAACTTTCAATTAAATGAACAGGGAGACCGAACTACCTCATCCTTCCCGGATCTGACAAAGTCAGGTTCTGAGTCACAATGATAGGAGTGGTGCAAAGGAGCCTTCCTCCCTCTCCCCGCAGTGACTCATCAGGGGCTTTCATTTTCCACTCCAGTCAGTAAGTCAACACCTTCTATGGCAATTAAACTTTTCCTAACAAGAAGACTTTGAGAAACTCATTAAGCTTTGAACTGCACATGAGCTCTGAACTTACATGGTGTGAATCCTGACATAGATGCCTGTCAATCTATAGCTGAAATCAGCTTCTGTTTATTTCTTGGTATTGGTGATAACTCCCAGAAGGAAAAAAAGTCCAGAAATTTTCCTCAAAATGTTTTAATGCTAGTTTGTCCTGCTTAACTGCATTTTGTTCTGTGACAGGCTCAATCTCATTGCAGCTGGCTTTTTTTGTTTTGAAGCAACATTCAGGTTACCGTGTTGCATTTCTGTAAACCTTCTAATTGCTGAAAATACGTGTTGGTTGGACTAGGATGAACTGATCCACTTAAAACTGATTTTTACCATAATTACATTTTACCATAAATAGAACTTTCATCATCGGCAATAAAAAGTTGAAAATCGTGGTTTGTGACTGATCCCTTCCATGACTTGGAACAAGTCACTTTACCTTTCAGTATCTTTGTTTCTTAGGATTCAAAGAGGGAGGAATGTCTTTCCAAGTAGTTTTACTGATTTGTGTACAAACAAGGAAAAAAAACTAACCAGAAAAAAACCCCAAAGCCATTATACAAGAGGTCTTTGTTAACTAGTAGTACTTCAAAAATTTCTGCTAAGAATCATTTTAGGCAACATTTCCAAGGCAATAAGTTGAAATATATGTGTAGGCCTGTATGTTCTTAAAATCAATAAAGAATCACTTTCATCATTAAAGAATAAAGGAATAGCCTTTGAGTTATAATTTGATTAAAAATGTTGCCTAAGCTGGGGACATGGGGCTGTCTTCCCAGTCTCTTCAGAAATCTCTTTTAAGTATTACTATGCCCTCCAATACTAAGCATTCCTCAGATATTTAACGTATGGGGAAAATATGATATCCCAAGTTCTATGACATCCCTTCAACAATAGGTGCATGAAAACTCATGTTTTAATTTGTGTCTTCCATAAAGCAGAACCCTTTGGAGGAATCACCACCAAGACCAAACTCTGATATCTCTGACATACTTACAAACAACATATTTGGGGGATTAAAAACCTTCTTTTTGAGATCTGGCCTACCTTGAAGTGAAATCTAATGCACTGAAAGAATGTCTTGGACACTTTCAGATGCTAACAAATGTCCAGGATTAAGAATAGATCTGACTGAGCTTTACGGGTTGTTTTACCCTTCTTGTCCACTCCAGAACTTCAAAGCTGCCATATTGGGCTCTTAGTGCATTGGGAGAAACTTGCTTGTCCTTCTTTAATGCAATAAAATTTTATATTTTTAGCATTACCCTAGTGAAATTTCAAAACAAAATGAGATGGAATACAAATAATACTAGAATTTCTTTAATATCCTGAATCATTAATAGAACCATGTCTAAACTCAAATACAAGCCACGTTTTAAAACAAAATTCAAATCCTCTGCCAAATGTTCCCTGCCAAATGCTGAGTTCAGTCCCTGAGGATCTGAGCAGGGTTTCCTTGGCTACAGCAGCTGGCATTGGCAGGGCAGCGAGTGCCACTCCTGGGCTTGGTGTGCTGGGTGATTTCATCAGCTAACACAAGTCTTGACAGGTGCAAAGACTTTCACTTTGCTTTAAGGACCATAAAACCTTTGGTGCATGATTTGTGAGATTGGGAACTAACTTTTTGGTCTAGGAAGGGAAAATGAGATCTTTTCCTGATTGTAATCCTCTAGATCTGTTACTAGTCCTTCAGTGCGTTTCTTGCAAACACAGAAATAACTTTTGTTCTGAAAAGAGTTCTTGATGGCTGCTGAATTTGCCATACATTTCACTTGGACACAAAGATATGACGAATGTGCTTCCTAGGATTTTCATGTTGATTTATTCTTCCTCATAAAGGACAATTTCGTAAAGAGCTTGAATCAGATCCACGTTCACACTTTACATATGCAACATTTTTGTGACTGACAAAGCTGGTTTTTCAGGCAAACTAACTTGGAAATAAAGTCAAACCAGAGAAGGGCATGCTGAGTCTGCTCTACTTCAATGGCTATTTTTTTCCAACTAATCATCATTACTATTATGAATAGATATTTACCCTTAGGTGCATTGAGCAGATCATTCTGACTCATCCATGTAATGGATGTTGTCCTCTTGGGTTAATGATTATCTTTTTTGTCTGAAAGATTTGTTAATTCCTGTAACTACATAGAATAGCTATTTTAGTACTTACCAGGTGACCTCGATGCTGACATAACCTTTCTAGTATTGTTGGTTGTAGCTTGTGTCATGACATTAGTGTGAATTATGGCTGTCTTGAGGATACAAACCTTCATATAGCACAGATGGTCTGTAGGAAAAAAAATTGTAATGACAGTCTGCGCATCACACGTTCAGTCTTTACTTGCAGACTATTTCCTTCATCATTGCCTCCATCTCTTAGGTACCTTTTAATCAAGCATCTAAGATGTCATTTTTTGTACAGAGTATGCTTTCTAATAAAGAGTGTAACGTGCAATTCTGGAAAATACCTCTTCTACCAGCATTATCACAGTCTTGTTGGCCTCCTCCAAACTTCTTTAGCAATGTATCCCCATTACTTCCAGACAGCTGATTTTTTTTCCTACTTCTTTGAAAGAATGATGAAAGCTGTGTAAGCTCATTAGCAGAGCATGTGTGTAGGCTTAAAATTACAGATAATAGACATATGGTTGGAAAGTCAGTAATTCCTTTACATATTTGCCAAGACTTAGGTCAAGGTTCAGGGTTTCCTTTGCTCAGACTGGTGAAATCAGAAATACCTCCAGGTGTTCTGGAGAGTGCTGGCAGCGTACAAGCAAGACAGGTGATGAGGCACAGTTATCTCAGTTGTTTTCTGCAAGAGCAAACCATGTTTACTCTAAATTGCACTCAATTGTGATGTGCTTTTCTTTTTGCATTAGTGTTTTGTATAAGCCAATCCCTTTTTTAATAGCTCTTGGTGTTTTCTATACACTCTCATAATCTCTTATTTCTAACATTACAGTAAATTCATTGTAATAAATTCTGATGTCACAATCCTGACTTCTAATGTCAGTGAAATTAACAGTTAATGTATTCAAAAATATTTGTGTGCTTAAAAGTAATCATCATTTAAAAAAATTACTACCTTTCCACTCAGAAGGGCAGCCCTTGCATGTCACATCTGTATTTGTGTAATCATTTCATAAAAAGGAAAGTGACATAAATATATGTAAGCAGTTTGAAAAACTCGTATACACATAATTAACTTGGAGTGCAATCAGATATATTACGGGAAAATTCAGCAAAAGGATGATTTTTTCCCATGTTTACCAGCTCTTTTTTCACGAGCATGGTTCTTCAGTTTTTACTGATAACAAAGTCACAAACTTTAAATCCAGAGCCTTGGCCTCAGATCTAGGAGAGGATATGAGGATGCATGGAGTTGTACATCTATGTCTCATCGACCAGGGAATCTGCAGTGGGAGCAAAATCTACGCTCGCCCTTGTGTGCCGTGTTTCTAATGTGAAAGGCAGCAATACCCGAGGAGTTGGTTGCATTGTCTTGACAAGCCTGTCTTTTGCTGGCTGGTTGAGAGTGTCAATGAGCAAGCAGTGTTGTTTGAGATGTTAAATGTTTCTTATGGGCATATTGTCCCTGCTGCCTACAGTGAGGCCACTGGCTGCTTGCGTGTGGACTACCTTACAGCAGTGTGACAGCTGCCCCACCTGGCCACTACACCACACACCGCGTGCCACCATCTGAGTACATTGTGCTCCTACCAAATTATTTTTCATATATGTCTTGGAATATATATTCAGATACTTTGCAGAATATTGTTTTAAAACCAAACAAATTATATTTTCCTCCTTTAAATCTCTCATCATCTTGACAGGTGAAGTTATTTCTTATTGTTCTTACTTTGTTGTCGCAGTTGTTCACACTGATTTTTAAAGAATTACGATCTGTGTGTATGATCATGTGTCACCCTTGCTAGTCCATGTTAGAGAAAGTAGAAGTAAATGTTACTGCATCTGGGGTCTGCAACAATTTTTCCTTTTGACATTGACTTACTTTTACACATTTTTCAGGAAGCAGAAATTTAATGAGTACCATGTTATACTCCAAAAATCTCTTTTAGGTCAGATGACATTCCCTCTATTAGAAACCAAAAAAGTGTTTGAATATGATGTCTAACAGGGAGCAATCCCAAACCAATAGCTTTTTAAGGTTTCAAACCATAACAACTCTAGATTAAATCATGTTTTGTAGAGAAGTGCTTACGCATCGGGCAGTTGAATTTTGTCTTAAATAACCAATGTTAGAAATAAAGAAGGAATGGTTTTAAGAGATTAACAGTGTAAGAGAGCCCATATTCATCTTATAAAAGAATGTGTTTTCTTTATTTTTATTAGGATTTTTTCTTAGATACTAAAGTAATGTGTACATAAATTTTGAAGGCGTATGAAACTAGAGCCTGAGCAGAGCCTTAAAGACATACCAAATCAATCCTATTTTCAAATTCAGCTCTGTTTCATGTCACAGAACAAAGTTTCTAATAGAGGCACAGTGACTGACCAGCAATTGCAATTTCCTATGTCATTATTTCAAAGTATAAGACTTTAAATATATTTTTTTTTGTCTTTTATTAACCAGTTAATTTAGGTGATGGAATAGAATACAGCCAGCAGAAGCGTGAAAATATTGGAGTTCTCATTCAAGAGACACTGGAAGCCTTTGAACGCTACGGTGGAGAAAATGCTTATATAAACATTAAATACATGGTTCCCACTTATTGGTCGTGCCTTTAAACTGAATTATATTAAACGGGATGATTCCATCTGTGTACTAAAAAAACTGTATCTGACTCTGTATGGCATCTTGTTAGTCATGCTTTATTTTCTCTACAGCTGCTAAAATAGTGGCTTCTGGGGCATTAGAGTGTTAGCACTATTGTGAACAAGGCTTTCCAATACATAAATAGTGTCTGTTCCTTTGATTACAATGGTGTACTGTGCTTGTTTGTACCCTGAAAGAATCACTCCTTTATAACAGAGCTGACTCGAGCAGGAATCTGAGTTAAACCTTCACTTGTATAGACAATAAAACTATAATTTTCATACGCGATTCAGCAATTGCTGTTCTGTGTCCGCTTGCCCTGAGGGTGATGTCAGAGGCTGTAACAAGAAGAGTTTATGCTGACTGCTTAATAGGTGTTTGTCATGGAAGAGAAACACCAGTTCAGCAATGCCTCTCTAGCAGCTGTGCCGAATAATGTGCACTGACATACAATAAAACTGTTGAATGTACATAACAACTACAGCAGGAAAATTTATATCATCCATTATAAAGCACTGTCATTACATTAATCCAGGTTTCTTACACGCTCCTGTTCTCGGCTTGCAGGTGCTTACCTTTCGTGGAACTTGGGTTCCTCTTGGTAAACATAAGGCACTACCACAGTTTTGAAGAAAAGTAACACAGAAAAAACTTTAATAAACCAGATGGAATATATAGAGTACATAAAATATTAGCCCCTAGTGACACTTAATCTGGGTAAACACAGAATATACACATACATTTTTAAAGGGCATTGGGTATTTTTTGTAATTGCAAGGTTCTTATTGCTTTTCTGTTGTTATTATTATGGTATGTACGTGTGCTAACGATGTAACTATTGTTGCAGGAATCCCTTACAATTTCCTGCTCAGATAGTTTCTCCCTGCATACCCATAACACAGAACTGATATAATCATGGATTTAAGCAAGGCTGTTGAGATTGACTTTATTGCTTTTTAAGCATTTCTATGGGATAAACCTACAAAAAATAAAACAAGACTTACAATTCTCAAGGACAACCATTTAAAATTATCGAGTCAGCTCAAAACAAATCAGAGATACGAGCTTTGCCTAAAAAGCATGAGATTTTTAAAAGTACAGGTTTTGGGCTCATTTTGCTTTTATTCTGGTTTCTGGAAGCTGTTAAAATATATGCAAGTTGCACTTTCAAGTGTTTCTCTGTAACTGTTAGAGCCTGAAATGCACTCTTTAGTGTTAGACACATGAGATTTTTCAAGTCTTTATCCATATTCACACCTTACAAGGCTTGCCCGAGTGAGAGACATAGCCCCTACGCTGCCCTGCTCTCTTGGATGCCTGCTGGAAGCGTGGGGAGCACCTTCCCACCTGCTGAAACTTTGAGCCATATCTGTTGTTAGACTGACATTAGAATTGCCTTTTTCTGTTCTGTGGCATCTTCAGCCTGAGGATTTTTTTTATTTTCTTCTCTTTCCTGAAACTGAAAAAAGTGAAGAAGATTTTTACTCTTGCCACCTTTTTGAGGAACTGCAGCATCAAGTGATGCCACCAGACACAGGCACTCACCAGCCCCATGGCTGCTGGAGGTGTGCCTTTTTCCCAGGCTCCAGGGACATTTATTTTCTTTTTGTTTTTGGTTCTTTCTGAATTTTTTTTACACGGTTTTGCCACGGCTTCCCTCAAATCCCTAGAGTTTAACCAATGTCTATCCTGTGTCCAACATACACCTGTGATGGATAAGGACATTCAAAACGCTGCCTCGAGTCTAGGGTATCTGTAAATCTTTCACCTTCCAGACAGAAAGGAAGGTGAAGCCTAGCTCTAGGCCCTTGTTTGTGGAAATTCAAGAGCTTTGTCTTCAAACCTTGCAGCACAGAGGTTAGCAGAATACTGCAAGGGGGTAAGGCCACATCTTCCGAAAATGCCTTTCTACTAGCCACTCTGGAACTATCAGCACAGCTTTTGCTTGCACTTTCTCCCTGTTTGCCTTGCATTGTCCCTGGCACCAATGAGCCATACATTTTCATTTACTGGCATCTGTGGGTTTGGTTACTGTGGCATTGCAGGTTTCCCGTGAGTACAGAGTGTGCTGGAGGACTGCAGCTCAGAGGGAGTTTGAGTTATTCAGCTCGGAAACAAACCAAGCCCTTCAGGAAAGGAAAAATCCCAGGCTACCTTTCAGTCCTCAGCTATTTGTATTCTTTCCTTAAAGAAAGTCCAGTACTGCTCTTTGCCTGAGATCAAAAAGCTCCTCAATAGCTGGCTTCAGCTCCCCCGCCGCTGGGCTTCAGCCACAGAGCTGCTCACAGAAGGGACAGTGCGGGAAAGGGCTCTCATCCCTGTGTTTTCCCCATCCCATCACCCCTCTGCATTCCCAACAGCACTGCTGAGGATGAGATGAAGTTGCAGGCTCCTCACCAGCTTTGTAACTCTGTTCCCTGCTGACAAAGACACACCATGGAAAATGGGTACTTGGTGAAGCTGCAGACTTGCCCAGACCTGATTGCCTCAGCCTTGTGCTCTTTCTTTCACAAGACGTTGGTGTGCAGTAGTCTGCAAGGGATGACCTTATGGCACATCATAAGGGCAATAGAGGTCATGCCCATTCACATCAGGAAAAATAGGTTTTACAGTAAAGTGCTTTTATTTGCATGTTCAGGATGGGAACATTAGCCTCTATCATACTATTTCTATGCCTGGTCCATTGCTTTAAAAGTGAACATTCTCCCATAACCTTATTACTGCTAGGAGATGGACTGATAAAAAGAAGCATGAGAAAAAACACAGGTTGGTAATTTAGGAACACTGAGAATAAAACTATTTTAAGTTGTCACTTTACTAAGTCAATCTGTAGGCCTTCCAACCTTGACAGTGTCCTTGTAAGCATGATCAGCAGCATATTTATAGGCAATTACAGCACAGCTCAGAGCACTTTATAAAGCACAAGATCAAGGACTCAGGTGCTTAAGCATATGAGTAATACTATGTCATTCAATACACTGCTTAGCTATTTTACTATGCTCAAAAAGTGGAATTATGGTTAAAAAATAGTAACTGCCTCTTCTTTTACCAGATTGTGTAGTTGTGGTCACTGACACTAGGGGCAAGCCAATCAACAGTTTCTAGTTGTAATCAATTAGGAGGCACTCTGGGCCAGGTTTCAAGCAGTATAAATTAAGTGTAGTGGCATTGAGGCTAACTTGGTGTTACAGAAGTAATGTGGTTTGTGCCTTACTCTGAGGTCTTCCGCTGTTTTCTAGCTCTCCAGCAATTGCAAGGTAAGGAGCAGAAGTGAACAAATGTGTGGACAGTTAAGTAAGTTGTCAGTGCTGGTTTTCTGGAAACTAAATGTTTGAGATGTCTCCAATTTATCTTGATAGACATGTTAGATAGGTTGGCTGGTAGCTGTTTAGTTTGAAGAATAAAAAACATATGGTAACAGTAGGGAGGAATAATATACCTGTGGCTGCCTTTGTCTTGCATGATCATCAAAACAGGAATAAAATAAAATCTTTTGGATGATTCTTCCCCAAAGCTGTGTAAGGGAACTCTGTAACAGGTGTCAGAGTTCAGGGAACTCTGGCACTCCGTAAATGCTGGCAGGTGCTATAAAGCAGTGGCTGTGCAAGCTATTAAGCCGCTGAATGCTACAACTTGCCCATGTGAAGGTGAACAGGGGCAGGGGTGGCAGTGGCTCCTGCCCAGCTTGGGCTGGGGCTGCTCAGGCTCCTGCAGAGGGGCAGAGCCTGGCAGAGGACAGGGTAAGCTGCTGCCAGCACTGGTGGCAGGGAGCCGGAGCCAGGCTTCTCGCTGGTAGCTTTCCAGTGTTTCAAAGAGATGAAGCTGCCAAAAAAGTTTGAAAAGGGCCTCCCAGGAGTCAAATACAAAAGGGCTATGGGAAGCTGTAAGTGGGAGGGAAGGTATGGGACCCTAGCTGGGAGGGTGTTTGTGTGTGGGGTGCAGGGAGGTGTAGTTGCAGCCAAGCAGGGCAAAAATAAAAAGTTAGAGCAGACACTATGTGCTTTCCTAATCCTGTCTGGAGACCCTCCGACTTCCAGAAAAGCATTGTCCAGTCTGAGGGGCTCTGCAGGCAGTGGGGCACATCACATTTTTCCACTCATCTGTAACATCCTGTGTTTTCTGCCTTAAATAAAAGCAGTGATATTTGTGGGAACTCCATATAAAGCCTGTCTGCTTGCAGCCTCTCAGAGCTGCTTTGTGCCTCCTGGAGACTGGGAGAGGAAGGTTTATGCCCTGGCAGGACAAGAAGTTCCCTACACTGGCCCCATAATCCTTCCGGCATGAGAGGGGAGGGAAGGGGAGTGTGTGTGGTGGGGCATATCTTAGCTGTTCTTGTTCTTGCCTAGCAATTCTAGCCTGGGTATGTCTGTGAGGCTCCTTGCTGAGAGCTCTCCCCTCCTTGGGACAGTGCGTTTTGTCTTCTATGAGGTGGGTGGAAGCCTGCCTGAGCTGAGGCAGCAAACTGCAGCCTCAGGGAGGAAAAAGTATGTTTCTTGGGAAGCTAGGAGTCAGCTTTGTGCTTTGTGTCCCATTTGTGATGCCACAAATACTTTTATTTGTTACCAACACTCAGGAGTGAGTTAAGCAGCTCTCATGAACCACTGGCTCATAAGCTCCATGGTATGGAGCTGTGGGTGCAGCAGGACAGGGTCAGCCTGCCCAGTGTGGGTGACAGCACTGCTCCCCTCTCTGGGTTTCCACTTTAGCAGCAGGAGCACCTGATCTTGGCCACCTTGCTGTGGCACGCACCAGCCGGCCGTGTGCCCAGAGTCCCCTTCCTACAGTGGAGAGGAGGAGCCTGCTTGGACTTTTTGCTAACAGAGCTGCTGACAGAGCCCCTCACATAGAAAGAAAGCCTTAAGCTGAAGAAGAATGGGCACCTTTGTGAAGGAGAAAGCTCAAGGCACAGCCGTTAGCATGGCCAGGGGCATTTTTGGGACCATACCCTCTCTGCTGCTGCTGTGGGTGTCCGTGTACATAGGAGCCCTCTGCATTTGCTATGTGCAGCTGACCCTGGCTGCTGGGGGCATGGGGTGAGAGGGGGTGAAATGGGAACTAATCCTGTTCTTTTCAAATGCTGAAAAGTGAAGTTAAATCCCAGCCTGCTTACTCTGCCTTGGTGAGGGTAGGTTAAAGCATTGAGGTAACGGGAAGAAAGAGAGCACCTAAATGGAGTATCATAGCGTTTGGTTGCCTGTCTCAAGAAAAGAGTGTGAAACACCCTTAGTTTATTAAATGATCTCAGCAATCCAAACTTCCTGTGTTCATCTGCATCAGCATAATGTTTTTTGAAAAAAAAAATCGGACATTAAGGCAGAATGGGATCAGCTGCACACCAGCCTT